ACGGTTTCACCCGACGAAGGGCCCGCTACTTTGTAGCGGTCTTGACGGCGTCGGTACTGGGGGCGGTAGGAGCACGCGAAGCAGCCAGCGAGGCTGTTGGTGGCACGGTTTTGCCTACGGCATCCTCGAGGACCCTTTCGACCTTGAGTCGGAGATGGTTCGCGAGCACTGTCGCGAGCACCGCGGCCAGATGGGGAAGGACGTGGCATAGTCCCGGTTTGCGGGTTTCATCGACGACGGCATCACAGTCTTCGCGTTGAGGTGGTTCGACGCCACTATCACTCTAAAGGCTACCTACTTCGCGCCTCCAGACAGTATCGAGGAGTTCCCGTCGGTGATCACCATCGAGTGGAAGAAGACTTCTCACTTCATTGGCACGGGCGGGGTCGGCTGGGCCGTCCGGTACGGGCCGGGGACCAGCTCCTTAAGCGACCCCGGGGGTCCACGTCCGAATAACAAAGGTTCCCTGTGCCCGGGGGGCTACTGCTATGCCTTCAACTCTTCGTCCGGCTGCCATGATCAGAACTGCGCATACCACCACATCAAGAACCGAACGCGCGCCGTTTCAGGACCATCCGCAACTCCGTCCACCGGTGAGCGTGGAAGGCAAGGCGGAAGCGGGAGCTCGGGTGCCGGCGGGGGCGGAGACGGAGGTGGGGGCTCAACCGGAGGCAGGTTGTAGCCACGGCGTCGCCCACGGCAACGGGGGAGGGCGCGGGGGCGGGAAGCGGTCCATTGGAGCGGGCGGAACGAGGCCCAAGGCTGCCGACTTTCTTCAACTATGGAACCGACGAAGAGGGGCACGGGCCCTCCTGTGTAGCGGACGGGGGCCCTACCGTAGGTTGCATGAGAAACGACACCCCCTGGACCGAATTTCAAACCTCTAATTTTCCACGACGAAGAGGATGTCGAAATCAAATGGTCCATTGTCAGAAAGCTCTCGACGAGACAGTTCCAATGCCGCCATTTTCCGGCCGCCACTGCTTTCCCGCCAAGAAATCGATCTTTGAAAATCGGCCCAGGGAGTGTGATACCTCAAGCAACCTATGGTATTTCGGGAGGGAGAGAGAACGCGGCCAACAGGAGCCGCAGAAGGCCGGCCCAAACGTTGGGCCATTGTCGTAGAGCGCACCTTGTCGAGCTGAGGTTTAGAGGTCACGAGACCGACCAAAAACAGAAAAGGGACCGTTCCGGGTTGCACGCGACACGAAGTTACCGGACCGCAGTCAGGCGTGACAGCAAGCGGCGGGGCGGTTACTCTTGTGATGGAGTTGTTGTCGTGTCATGCGACGTTGCCTGATTCCGCACAGGTGGCTTCGTACCGTTCTTGCGCTGGCCTCCGTGCGGAATGGAGAAGCGACGGCTTCAGCATCAGACAGAGACATCCCAGAACATGAGTAATCCAGAGAGGGGGTCGGATGCACACAAGACGTACGCTCGGAACAACGTAGAGGACTCGAGACCTGTGTCGCGGAAACTCGAGGACGGCAGCAGAACAGCAATGACACAACCGGGGGAAGGGACCGTATGGGGAAGAAATAGTCGACCTGTACGGTACAGTAGTCGTCCAGGAAATGGCCTCGATGTGCGTGTTGTAGAGTGGTGTGTACCCTTTTGGGGACTTGGTCAGTTTTGGGACTCCTTCGTTTGCAGTCGCAGTCCCCCTGCTGGAGTCCTTTGTAAGGAGAGAGACGGCTTCGCACGCTTAACGTCGCGCCTCGCAGTCAACGTAGCTCACGAGAAGATACGCGTTCCGCGTGTCTCTCTCCCCAACGCGTACTGTAGCATTGAAACCGAATAAACAATGTAATGATTCAATCCCAAAAAAACAAAAAACAAAAGTAGATCGGTTCATGGTACTCCAGATGATACTTCAACAACGCAATAGCCGCGAAAAACGTCAAAAGATTCTCAGAAACAAATATTCCAATACGGCACCTTGTAGGAATTGGAGACCTTGTTGAAGAACGACGAGTTACCCAAGACGTTCCTGGCGTTGTGGCAGTAGCGAACGACACTCTGCCAAACGTCGAGCAAATGAAAGCAGGACGGCGTTAGTACAACGACGGCAGAGTAACAACAACGAAAATGATGACGACGACGACGACACGCGTGCTCGCTCACCCCGCCGAACACCTGCACCGCCTCCACTGCGAACCACAAGGCGACGACCAGCAGGATAAACAAGCAGATCCCCACGCCCATGAGCACCGCGACAAGCGAGGAAAGCCGCTCCGCGGCCACCGTCACCAAGCTGGTCGTAACCGTTTGGCCCTGCCACAATCGGACCGGGAGCGAAAACAATCGGAGCTTGAGCTCGAGGTTTTACCCAAAGGCATTTTGCATCATGAGTAGCACACCTCGATATCACGCGCCGAATCATGTGAAATCGTCTTTTCTCTTCGCGAAATGCCATCGGAGTAGATCTCGGGTCTCAGACTGGCTGCATACTTTCTGAGGCATTCCGTGAACCCTTTGGGTCCGGATGCTTTGGGAATCACGAACACATGGTCGTGCGACGAACTTGGTTCAGCACGGGGGTCCATCGGAGTCATCAACGTCCGACTGAGAGTATGCGGCAAGAGGGGTGAAAAGTGCGGGCATACTCAATAGAACCGGTTTGAGCAGGGCTAGGATACCCATAGGACTGCCGGAATGCTTGGCTGCGCCACACCAACTGCTGTACGCTCTAGTTGATACTCGCCTTGGTTCACGACTATCTACCTGAGATCTGTTGTCAAAATAGACCGGAGAGCAAGACACCGTTTGGTCCATACCTTCGTGCTTGCGCAGGTCCTTCGGTACCACTCCAGGACGTGTTTCGACACCATCTCCGGAGACTGAATTTGCACCTGCATCGCAGACGCAACACGCAAAAAGCAAAAATTACAGAAAACTCCATAAACCAAAAGCACTACGCGCATCACGACCAGCTACCACTACGTCTGGGGGCACACAGAAAAGCCTCTTCGTGTGAAGGCTCAGAGACAGTCTGTGATGATGTTTCCGCTGGGTGCTCGAAACGCCTGCATGAGCTCCAGATGGCGCCAACATGGAACACATTCAGCAGCAAAGCAGTGGTCGATAAGGCTTTGCTGCGGTAGCTCGACTCTCGGTTGCTGTCCCGCCGTGTCGCTACAAACAGCTTTTACGTGGGTCAGCTCAGAAATCACAAACAACGCCATCGTCTGATGCCAGAAGTGCTGCTCCAAGAACGTACTGCCAGAAGTGTACATGTGTCTGGGGCCTGCCGTGACCTTCAGACACACTTGTCTAGTGTCGCGGGACCGCACAACTTGTTGAAGCAGAAAAATCTTGCCGTGGAAAACAATCTAGGCATCTCTAGTTTCCGGTTGTAGCTCTGCGGGGGGTTGGGAACTAACTGGGTGTCAAGAACCTTCACCTGAAAAGGGTGTGTGGAGATCGTTGGCGAGTGGCGCGGAAGCGCTCCTCTCAGGGCATTTTTTTATCGCCACAGCTTAAAGCCACGGTAACAACTGGGATGGCTGAAATGGCAAGGCACAGTAGCGAGCGAGAATACATCGCTCGAGATTTTACGACGCAGACGGAAAACTCCTGAAACCACCAGGTGTGCACTTTTGACCAAACCCCTTGAATCGAGCGCACGGTGCATATGGATACGACGGGAAAACTTGCACCGTTTCGTTGAGCAAAACAAACCTTCTGCCGGCCCCGTTCTCCCATGCTCGCGCACAAGTCGCGATCATCACGGAGGCGAGCTAGAAACGCCGCTCCTTCCGCTAGCCGATGGCCGTCGAAAAGGAAACCGTCCTCCTGGTGAACAAAACGATCCGGCCCGGAGCGAGTGTTACCGCACAGCAAGAACCGGGGCAACAGACACAACATCTCCGCCCAAAAAAACGGGACAGTTAACCTAACACCTTTGGGACACAGTGAGCAAATCTTGTTTTGTGGTACACGATACTGTATATCGAAGCACGTGGAATGGTGCAACTCCTTGGCGACGCAATAAAGAGTTCGGAAAAGATCACTCGAACGGCGGGATGCTCTTGGCCATGAAAAAACAGGGGGGGGGGGGGGCGTACTCATTTGTTGCTTGCCTTAGTCATTTGACCGTTGACCACGCGTCCCTTTCGAGACGGAGCACCGTTCCTACCCCTACTAGAGACACCACCAACATTTGGGAGCTCTTTACGTTTCTGCCACAAACTCCATAAAAATTTCTTGCACATCTTATCCCCTTCCTCTAGGGCCTCTTGTGCCCACCATCTATCCCCAATTATCGCGATCGTTTTTTCGCTGTAATTTGCCAAACTTGTCCATGTCACACCCTCTCTGTCTCATTTCCTCCTCGAGATCCTCTCTTTCCTTCCTGTACAACTCACACTCCCCAACTATGTGGGGTCTACTCTCCTCCGATTTGCCACATGGACATGTGTGTCTATCCTCCTCTTCCTCTCTCCTACGGCTGGTATACCTCTTCCTCCGTTCTGGCAAGTCCAGATCGCCTACTCGAAATTGCAATTTCAGCTTTTTCGCGTAGTCCATGGGGCCGTCCAAGTACGTCTTCATCCCTATCCCTTCTTTCAACTTCCCGTATATCTCCAAGTGGTCTTCGCTTCGTACCTTCTTCCGAAGGGTTGCCTCCTCCCTACTTTCTAGCACCTCCTTGGCTTTCGTCTTGAACCCCCCGAACCCTTCCGTGTCCAACGTCTCCTCCTCGTCTCCTATCTCCTTCCAAACCTTCTCTACCACCTTGTCCCATCTGATTCCCTTCTTCCCTGGAGTCGCTTTCCCCAAGCTGCCTTGTCAACCATGGCTGGTAGTCTATCGTCCGGCATTCTACTTACCTTGTACTGCCAATTCAACTTCTGCATGTCTCTCTTTGTTTTAAGAGAGTATATTCCCAATTCTGCTCTCAATACAGTGTTGCTCGTTGTACTTGAACATCCTAGTATTTTCTTGGCCGCTGCCATCTGCACCGTTTCCAGCTGCTTGACGGCCTTTTCGTTACCTTCCCATACCTCTCCTGCATACTCTAGCTTAGGTAAAATCACATTCAAGAGAATACACCTCTTAATCCTAGTGTCTAGGTGTGGGTCCGTAAGGATCTCGTCCATCTTGCCTATCTGAGCTTTACCCTTCCCAATCAACTTCGCTATGTGTGCGTCCCATGAGCACTCCTTCGAAATCTCTACTCCCAGGTACGTATACTTGTCTACTACCGGTAGTTCTTCCTCCCCCCATTTCCATTTGAATTCTACGGGGGTTTTCTTGTCTTCGTTACAGACCACTACTGCGCATTTTCCTACGTTCGCCGACAGTCTCCATTTTCGGGTGTATCCTACCGCCGCATCTATTTGTTCTTGCAACCCTTCTGGTGTTTCGGATACCCCCACGAAATCATCTGCAAACATCAATCCGGACACACTCTTTCCCCCAACTTGGACTCCCTGTCTGGGCAGATAGAGAAGGGAAGCCACATGACAGGAGTATCGTGTTGTCCTTGCGCTTGTTAACGAAAGAAGGTAACGCTAGAATGACAACAACAAACACAACAACCAACTTCAAGAAGAACAACATATAAACGGCATGGCGACAACATCGTACCTCGTGGTTTACCGTGTCGATGAAGCCCTGCGCTCTCGGCACGACGACAGTCGTTCCAGACGCGTGCGCCTCCAGCACTTTGTTATTCGTCCAGTTCCACGATGGTGGTGGTGTGGTGGTCGAATTGATTGGACGAATTCACCAATCGCGGGGACGGACACAGAGGACGGGGGGGGAGGCTAAAATTTGAAAAATACTATCCAGCCGATGGGAGACTTCAAGCAGTCAGATTGATCCGTTACTGGGCCCGATAGATCTACATATGCAGAAACCTGACGGCAACACATCAAGGGTTCAATCAATGGCACAGAAAACGAACAATCTCGGTGGGCTTACCGGCGACATGATTCCAGCCACATGGGTTGCAGTTCAACGCAAGAAGCAATTTCATATTGCCTGCCTCCCACTTTTTTGCATCCCAAACCCCATTGCCCGTGGGTGAAAACACAACGCCGAAGGGCACCACACAATTGTCGCGTAACGGACGAGCATCAGAAGACATCGTGTGGTCATGACAAAATTTGCCATGCAACAAAAAGACAAGCCAACAAAACCAGACGTAACAAGCATGAGGAGACGGCACCCCCCCCATGGAAGGCATACATGTCCATTGGCGAAAACAATCAAAGCGAAATTGAAACGGTGTGCGCAGTGAAATTCACCGAGGCCTTGATGGCGACTCTTTAGGGTACTGTATCGCGGCTAGTGTCTTGTAGGAGGCAGAAATCTCACCAGTGTTGCCCAGAGTCTCGAAGTGCGAGCAAGAAACGTGAACGTCCGCCGAAGCATACACCGGGGCCAGATCCTCGTGCCCCAAGAAACCGATCCGGCAGTACACACCTCCCTGTCGCGGCATAATTCGTTCGGCACGCCAAGCGTTGAAAGAACGCGCGTGACGGCGGTTGTCGGTGTATATTTTCCGGGAGGTCTAGTGTGAGAAGCAGGCGTAGGGCGACATCCTTTCACCGTCATTGGAGATGGAGGCACGGCCCTTACAACAAAGCGGACATATTCTCTAACCCCCCAGAAGGAGCCACAGCAACAGGTACGCCCTTGTCTTGTCAGGTGCGAACCGCTTTCTTAGCGCATCGATGCGGCCAAACCAAAGACAACAACATTGTTTGTCAATGTCTCTCTCATCTATCTCCTGTTTGTCAGCTGCGCGGTCGGGTGTGCACGCCGATCTATCTTGTGTCTGTTAGTAGTCGGATGTTGCCCCCTGCTCCCCACTGCCTCTCTCGCTTAAAAACGCAACAATCACCGACCCTACGTGTGTCTGTGTGTGCACCCCCTGTTTCTCCCCTCACTTCCGCCGTTACCAAACAGCAGCGGTACAGTCCACACCCTCCCGTTCATCCCTCCCCGGTGCCTCCCGTCCCCCTCGTCCAGATCTGTCTGTCTCTCCGTCGCAACCATATCGCAACCTTAGTACCTACAAGCTGCAAACAATGACGCCTCTCTTTGCGGGGACGCATGCTTGTCGACAACCAAGTTCAGCAGACATGCTCTGTATTCTCGATTCTCTGACCACGGATTGAGCCGGAGGCAGTTGTGACAGCACAGGGAAATACTACCTTTGGTGCCAAGTTGGTGAAATGGACTCCAGTCTCTTGGGGTACAGCGATCACGGGCGGACGGATGGACGCACAACCTACCTCACTTTTGGCATGCCCCTGCACCGATTCTCTTTTTTGCGTGAACATGCCTACGTGAGTTTTCTGTCAGACAAAAGCCACCTTGCGTGTGTGTTCTGATCGAAGGGCTCTGCCGAAAAAGTTGTTTCAAGGCAAGCGGGTTTCGACACAAATGCACCTCGAGATGCGCTTCGACATGTCGAAAAACAAGATTATTTTAGCGCAGTGCTCACGATCTTGGTATGCATACTACAGTAGGTTTATTCCCGAGCCTTGCGCGAAGGCTTACAGGTGGGTTGTGTTCATTGTACCTTGGTTCGCCTCTTGCCGCTGTTGGACCAGCAGCCGTGGCGCTCTGACAGCACAGGCCCCATCGCGCCGTCTCCGATGAGGGCCAGATAAACACCGTCAACGCTACCGCACATCTGGACAAGCTTGTCCAACCGCTGCCACACAACGCACGACGTACGAAAAAGACAAAGATACACGGGTGAGTCCATACCACCACTGTTTGCACTCTCGTGTGCCACACGAAAAACAAGAACGTCGACCAAGGCAACGAGGATAAGACAGGATCCATACAACATAAAACAGTGCAATTCTTGGCCTCCAAGGCCCGCCGCAGGCAACACGAAAGATGGAAGGAAAAGGAAGCAGTCATCCTAACCGTAACCCTACGTTGCCTCCTATGCCGTTCCATGTCTTCCATGCCGTTCCATGTCTTCCATGCCGGGCTTGCGTTGATTATATATTAGGGCACACGCAACTTGGAATGGGGCGTTCGAACATGGCAAAAGGAAATTCATTCAAGGGAGGACTCCACCAAAAATGGTTGTTATGACGGTAACTCCCTTCCTCAGCCCCTGAGGTTTCCCCAGACCCCGGATACAGGGAGAGAATTCAGCCCAAACGGCGTCGTGGATGAATTGTGGGGAATAGAGGGGTGGCGTGGAGATCGGAAGCGTTGATTGCTCACGTACGTCAGCCAGACGTCCTTGCGTATCGCGAAAAAACAGCTACAGAATCCACCCAGAATTAAAGGGAATGACAACACTTAGTCAAGTAATTCATGCGTTACGCATTGGAAGAATGTACCGGAACATAGAGAGTATTAAACTTTAACCGTGGACTAAATAGAACGACCCAATGCCCGGTATCACCCATCAGTGGCATCATTGGTTCAGTGGTAGAATGCGTGATTGCCATTCACGCGACCCGTGTTCGATTCACGGATGATGCATGTTTTGTTTCGCCCAATAATTTTTTGGCCGACTCATTTTTGGAAGTAATCGAAAGCATGGAATAACCACCTTGACGACAGCTCTTTCGAGAAATACACCAGTCAACGGCATGTATTCAAATCATTTCAGTGAGTGGGGAGAGGAATCTGATTCCTACCACTCTTGTCTGGCAGTGTATTTCACATTTGGAAATTCGGCAATCTAGTGAACCCTTGGAAAGTGTAACGAAAGCACAACTTCCAGTAAGTAGTTTTCGGTGGCGGGATACGATTGGAAAGGACCGACGCAAAAAATATTTTTCCCATGGTCACCAGGAGACTCTTCGAAGTCCTCCCCGTATTGCCGCACCACACCGGCAACTTCGAACGCTTCCCTCTATAAGTTTTTCCGCATTCCGTCTGATCTATTATGTTTTTTCGCATGGGATTCGTGGCGATCACGCGAGGGCCTCGAATACGTCACTTTTTGAAACGACAACTTTCGCAGCTCAACCCCCCCGATACAGTAGTGCTCTTGCACGGAGAACCCCTGATTGAGACTCTCAAGGGGCTTGCACATTGAGCGGAACAATTTACGTGCGTTCAGGTTGTCTCCGATATCTTCTCAGCGACATCGAGGGACATTTCAAGCAGACGCGCGGAAGCCCTTCACCCGGTGGTTCTCGCTAGCGAGCTTTTGAGCCCGGTACTTAAGCCCGTTACAAGAGCATTTGGTGCTGAAAAACAAATAAAAAAGGTTGACAAGGGTTTCCAGCCGAGCGCCAGGCGACCCACTGAACAAAACGTTTCCAAAGATACGTTATCGACAAGTCTCCAAATGCGAACTATATTGCAGGGTGTACTGGATTGGAGACTCTTTCCCCCTTGTGTTCACCTCCCGAGTGTAGTATTTCGTCCCGTTGTCGGCCCACATCCTGCACTTAATTAGACTTCCAACGTGCATCGGTTGGTTGGCCTTGAGCCATGGTGAGGCGGCGTAACATAGCTACGATATGTTGTAGCTGTTTCCGCCAATTCCCATGATAGTAAATAAATTGAGGTGGGGACATGCACGTATTGCCACAATTTCATGCGTTACAATGGAATGATCATGATGTCATACTTCACCCACTGTGGACCAAATAGAAAGACACCATGATACCCTCCACGCATACGCGGCATCATTGGTTCAGTGGTAGAATGCGTGATTGCCATTCACGCGACCCGTGTTCGATTCACGGATGATGCATGTTTATTTTTTCTTTTTCGCCTAGTTCATTATTGTGGTAAATCAACTCGATATCGCCGCGTTCTATCGTCGGCGTTGCCTGTCTGAATCTGTTTGCTTAGAAGGTAGCCGCGGGCGGATTACAAGGCTGGCTGAGCGTATTATCGAAAGATCACCGACCAACGGCGGATATATATGGAGAAGAAACAGACAGGTGCGGTGAAACGTGATTCTGTAGTGTAGTCAAGTTCGCCCGCCACAGCTGATTGTATAGTGGTCGCAGTACGGTCGTCCCGGTCGCTGCTAGCTCCTAGCTCCTGAGTCAGTACCTTCCAATGGACGGCTTCCATCCGTGGCCACAGGCGAAGCACCCAAAAAGTATATCGCCAAAGAATACCCTTGCGTGCAGAAATGAAAATACCCCGAGAGGGTGTACGCAAAAACCCTCAAGGGATATCCGTGATGGCATTTAGGGCTGTGCTGTAGCAGTACCACTGCTTCAGTATACACTGCTGCTGCTGCTGCTGCTGCTGCGCAAAGAACAACACTCGCCTGCACGTTTGCATACTGCTCGAATTAGTGTCAACTCCAGTGTCAAAAGCGCGGCGACACCTACATATGTATGTAGTAGTTGTGTGTGGTACCGCTTTGTTCGTCGAAACCGCCGAGAAAACACCCGCAAGCTTGAATGGCGGCTCTATCTGTGAAATAAAACGTCTAGACTAGCTTAGAAGCTACGCGAGGAGACAACGAAGAGGGCAAGACGGTCCAGAGGAAACAGCGCGAATGCTGGCAAACATGCTGGCAAACAGCTTCAGAATGTTTTTTCAGACCCGTCTTACGAATATATATATACTAGGGTTAAGGATTGGCCCCCCGCCCCCCAATGGGGCTGGGGGCCAACATCCAGGACGGATGGTGGTGAGTGTCCGGGAGGAAGGAAAGAAGAAGAAGAAGGGGACAATATTTGTTGGGGCGGGAAGAAGGGACGGTGTTGGGAGAGGCAAGGAAGTGGTGAAGAATTTCGGCACTCGACGAGCGCGCGGTCCCGTCGGGGGTGAAAGGGAAATGTCAGTCCCTAGTCTTGTCTCTATCGGAATCGAAAAGCCGAAAAATCGAGGTATACATTATGTACATAACGATGGAGAAGGCCGACGAGGAAGGTACGAAGAGAGGAAATTGCACCTCACGTTCGAAGTCGGTGTGAAAACCGCCGCAAGGAAGGAGTGCGGAGGGAACAAAAAAAAAAACGGAGACGTCGACGTTTGCGTCGTGGAACGATCCTTCTGTATAACGCAGGTACTCACCAATGCAAGACAAAGAGGTAAAATACCCATCGTGAAAGTCAAAGCGCAGGTCATAACTGCATATGACTCATGCGCGGAGAAGTTACCACGGAGACTTATCAACAAGCAAGAAGTTTGAAGGCCGGCTGAGAAGGTTTGAAGCCACAAACACTTCAGCGACGATGGCAAGCGCAACGTCAAAACTTCACAGGAAGAAAAGTGCATATAAGAAAAGTGCATACAAAAAAAGAAAAGGCCGGATGCCGACCTGTGGCTCTCTCGGAATGAAGGGATTCCCACAATTTCCAACAGGTAATCCACAAGTACGGACATATGAAGTTACTGGGTAGAGAGAGATCGGAACGGTTTTTCATGTGAAGACAACAACAACAACAACAACAACAACAACAATGATGAAGGTCGACCCGTCCTGCGTCGTTCGGTGTAAAATGATAAATGGGAAAGGTGGACTGCGTAAAGATCCAGCGGTCTTTTTCGGCAGTGGCAAATAAATATGCAACCACATGTCGCAAAAAAAAAAAAAGTTGAGCGGCATACTCTACACTGTACTATGGTTCGCCGTGGCAGGAATATCCCATCCAGTTAGGTCGTTGCGGTAGTACGCGGACGTCGTTCGGCGTCTAGTCCATACTGCTGTTGCAAAAACACAGCAGTAATCGAGTTATGCATGAATTTTTTTGCTCTGGTTCACTTTTGCCTCCACAACCCGAGAATCCCACTGCTGTATCTCGACCTACAAGACTCCAATCAACAAACCAGCACTGGCAGAAGTGCGTGGAAGATGTTGTGACAGCACAACTAAGTCGACACTCGTACGACTTCCATGTACAGTCGGCGTCTGGTCCATACTGCTGTAGAAATACAAAAATTGAGCCATCTTTTTTTTATTTATTTCCATACTAATAACAAGAAATGTATCACGTCACGACGACCATCCTGTGAGTATATATATAACATGATTCGTGAGCATAGGTGAAATCACTTCAAAACAGCCCTTTCGATAAAATACCCCCGTCAACGGGATGAGCTCAAGTTTTTTGAGTGAGTGGGGAAAGGAACCTGATCCCTGCCACTCTGTCTGGCAATGTAGTGCACATTTGGAAATTCGGCAATACAGTGCACCCCTAGAAAATGGGACAACACAACTTCCAAGTAGTTTTCGGTAGCGGATACGATTATTCCATGGTCACCAGGGGACGCTTGGAAATCCTCCCCGGATTGAGGTTTCCAGCCGAGCGTCAGGCGACGCATTCGACAAAGGTTTCCGGGAATGTATACGTTATCCAGCAGTCGTAGCGCTGATTGTTGTCCTAATGCGAACTATATTGCCGGGTGTACTGCAATGGAGACTCTTTCCCCCTTGTGCCCAACTTGAAGTTAGTCTTTGATCACATTATCTGCACATCCAGCAATGGACCGTAGTACATAGACAATTTAGTCATGGCAGGACGGCGTGACAAAGCTAACCTGGTTGTACTGTGTCTGCCGCTTCCCGTATGATACTTCAGAAATTGATGTGGTAACATAACCTCTTTTGCCACAATTGCATACGTTACGAAATGAGCAGTGGCCAAATCGGGTACACCCGGTCCAACCACGGCCATAATCGGGTACCCGTACAAGATGCTGCTGGGAGCGACCGCATGACATCATCTAATTCGCCGACGCCCACCCCTACCCGACCTTGACTGTCTTTCCACCAGGTGCTCCCCATCTTGGCTACCCACCCCCCGGAGGTACCCGATTTTCCTTTCCCCTACCCGAAAATGGCTGGGCTGTTCGGCGAAAACCCATCACACAACCGCGGGTCGGACGCACACCGCTGGCCGCTTGTTTGTAGCCAGTGAGAAAGAGGCGAGGCAGAGAGCATGTCATGTCTATTTTTAACATGCATGCGTCTCGTGTGTGTCGCATCTCTTGAGCTATTCATCCAGCTCTTCTTGATCATCTGCACCGACCACCTGCCGTTTCCCCCAAGCGAGAGTTCCACCGCCGGCGGTGGGTCCGCCTCTGCCCACCGTCGGAACCTCCGAATTCGACGGCAGGGCATTGCTGACATGTGCATGTGGGAATGGGTTTTGGCCGAACAGCCAGCCATTTTCGGGTAGGGGAAAGAAAAACGGGTACCCCTCCAGCGGGTGAGTAGCCAAGATCGGGTGCACCCGGTGGAAAGACGGTCAAGGTCGGGTAGGGGCTGGGGTCGGCCAATCGGATGGTGCCATGCGGTCGCTAGTAGCAGCACCTTGTAGGGGTACCCGATGATGGCCGTGGTTGGACCGGGTGTACCCGATTTTGGCCACAGCTCTTACACAGAAATAATGATATGCTTATCATGAACTCTGTGGGGTTACGTGGAAAGACCCGATGACCTCTTACATCCACCAGTGGCATCATTGGTTCAGTGGTAGAATGCGTGATTGCCATTCACGCGACCCGTGTTCGATTCACGGATGATGCATCTTCTTTTTCACCCGATTTATTTAGGGTCGTTCTTATCGACCAATAAAACACGAAAAAAAAAACGAAACCGTGTTTTCTTGAACACATATGGAGGCGTTTTTCCCCGAAAACGTGAAAAGGAGCCGGGTTTGGGGCTTGCTACTTTAACGAATCCGTGTTTTTGACAGAAACATCGGACAAGCGCACCGCGGGCGCTGTAACATCACTGAGAACGCTAGAAAGACCTGCCAGACTCACGTCCAGGTCTGTTGTGGAGATGGACAAGCGGCAGAAGCGGCGTTCAGTCCGTTCTTGGCCCAAAACTAGGCATTGCGTGATGCTCTCGTCTTCAACTGCTGCTGTTGGTGCTGTTTTTGTTTTTTCAATCACACATAGCAAACACGGAAACAGTAGAACGAGTACAGCAGCAGCACCAAGACCTCCAACGCGCTGATTCCTTCGGTTCGGCTGTCTATATGATACCATCTCCCGGCGCCGTGCTGCTTCGTGGGTATTGGGTGCTTGGATGCTGCTCAATAAAGTGTGTGAGAGACGTGTGCCACCTCACCAAAATGCCGTTGGAAAAAATGCGGCGAGATAATCTGTTTTTGGTCGGACGCATCAACATCAATCCAAGGCACCACGCAGCAGTAGAGCAACAGGGCCTCCGACACACTAATTCTTTCGGAATGGCCATCTATATGATGCTGGCCGTCAGCGCGGCTGCCGCCCTATGATTGTTGAGCTCGTCTACCTTTGGGCAGGTGGTGGTCAAAGATGGGAGTCGCAACCGTGAAAAATGAGCTGGCAAACTGAAGAAATAGCAAGCAACACCAAGGTGGCGACACTCTGCCCTGCGCCTGTTGTTGCTGAAAACTGAAAACAGCAGGCCAGGTGGACGGAATATTTCTAACTGTGTTGTCCTCTGTGTCGGGTGCTGCTTGTTGCGCTTTCACCGCTGCTCTATGGTGAGCAGTACCATGTCAACCTGTTGTGTGTCGAGCAAAACGTGTATTCAGGGAAAGAAACGAACTCTTCGCGATGACATCACGATTAGAACAAGCGAAAAATAATCGGATCTTCTTTTCACCGTTCCGTGAAAAGAAGCGTTTTTTTTTCGTTGCGTTAACAACGACCCTTACCACATGTTTTTGCCGACTTGTTTCCTCGTTATTCCTCTCTCGCCGCGCCGGCCTACGTATGTACAGTTAGTTAGCCATGCGCCTGACTCTGTTTTTGGGCCAAATTTCTGTCCAGCGGATGTTCTTTCGAACAGTCCATATTGCTGAAATTTTTATTTCATAGCCAATCAATCCCCGCATTTTTGGCAGCCACGTCAGTTTGCCAACCGAAAAGACTGAACATCGGCTGTGGTGTGTCCTGTTTTTTTTTCTAGTTGACAACGAAATGGGACTGCTGCAGACACCCCAGTTCCCACCCGGCTGTGGGGCTGCAGGGACATTGCATAGAGAGCAGAACAGTCACCGCTACTCATGGCGTAGAAACGGTCCATTAAGCGGCAGTAGCACCGGCGGCAGGGCCGTTGCGCCCGGGCAAAAATTTCGGAGATGAGCGGAAAAAGCACCGATCGATGGGAAGAGTGGGTAGAGGTGGGGTCTGATTTTTTTCGAACAAGGTACAAAAAAGCAACTGAGCCGCCGCCGCCCTTCCCATCCCTCTATGGGGTTCAAGAGACATTGCGAGCAAAGTCAGACAATCAGTGCTACTCATGGTGCAGGAACTGGAGTAACAGCTGCAGTAGCGCCGGCCGCAGAGCCGTTGCCCTTGGGCACAAATGTCAGATGAGCGGCAAAACAAACACCGATCGATGGAGAAGAAGCGGGTAGGGTCTGATTTTTTCAATATGGTGCAAAAAAAAAGGAATCGAGCCGCCGCCGCCTTTCCCAACCCTACACGGGGTTGAAGAGTCACTGCGAGGAAAGCAGGGCACCCGGTGCTACTCATGGCGCAGGAACGGTAGCAACAACTGCAGTAGTGCCCGCGGTAGAGCTGTTGCGCCCGGGAACAAATGTCAGAGATGAGCGGAAAAACAACACCCCCCGATGAGAAAGAGCAGGCAGGGTCTGATTTTTTTTCAACATCGTACAAAATGGAACTGAAGCTGCCGCCACCCTTCCGAACCCTACACGGGGTTGAAGAGACACTGAGAGGAAAGCAGGTCACCAACTGCTACTCATGGCGCAGGAACGGTAGGAAGAGCTGCAGCGTAGCGCCGGCGGTGGAGTCACGCAATGTCGCCCAAGAGTCGGTTCATGGGCAAAAAAAAGAACAACGCATGAAAAGTTCAATTTCACGCAACAAAATATGAGCTCCTTCAATAGCTGGCCGCGCCTGCTTCGTCCCCGCTCCCAAACCCCAAACAGACCACCCCTTCGCACACTCCCACCTAGCGATGCTCCCTCTGAGCTCGCTCCCTACGTGTTCGCTACGTAGACGGCAGTTGGTCTCCACGCCGTTGACCCGTCCCTCGGTATGAATCGGCTGGTTTGTGGTTACCAGTTTTTTTTTTTTTCTTACAGCGTGGGACTTTTTGGACCGTGCGTCACCCAAAACTACCCAATCTTGGCATTCGTTTTGAGAGATGTTGGCGAAGCGGATTCTGGAGCGGTTTCTTGTATCACTTCCGTAAACACCAGAGCTACAATCTGATCGGACGCCATTGTGATTGAAGTTGCACACGTTCGTGGCAGCGGGTGAAAAAGGCTAAAAATCACGTGTTTTTAGAGGGTTTGATGGGAAAGAACACGCCGATTGAAAAACTATCCGATGACTCCATAGATGTGTTCTATTCACGGGTGTGTACTGAACTGCAAGAGCCAGTTCGTTCGTGGCATCGAGTATTTCATGTTTCCCTCTCGCTGTTTAATATCAAGTCAAAACAAGATTCGGCGTCGTCAACCGGACGAGCGGAAAAACTTTGTTTTGGCCAGAGAAAGCCGAATAGCCGTGCCACGCGCATACAACATTGGGGGGTCAGGCGCAGGGCTAACAGTCCAAGCAATTTTTTTTTTTTCGTTGTTCACTGCGCTATTATTGTTAGCCTTGGCTGGTCAAGTATTCTCCTGTTTGGTTTATTTTGTATGGCCTCGCGTGTCGAGTGAGAGCGACGGGCTCTCTATGTACGCCTATCTCTGTGGTCAGCATGTTACTTGCGACGTCTGACCTCCTGGGTCGTGTGTCGTATGTTGTCTTTCATTCCACCGCGTCTGTGGTGGCTTCCGGGCCCTATTAGCACGCTTCGTTTAAAATGATTGAAACAATAGACACCTTGGGTAGTTTACCGGCAACAACGGAAGGCGTCAGCGTCACTTGGATCTAAATTGTGGACGCTATTATTATAGAAGTTCTTGGGCAGGGATCGGAACAGCTGTCACGTAAGCAAATGGTAGGTAAAACAACAGCATCACCTTTACAACAATACACTATTCACAACTACACTGTACAAGGCGGGACAAAAAGTTCATTTGCTTCCGGACATTCATATTGACGACCCTACTGCCCCGATCAACAGCATCATTGGTTCAGTGGTAGAATGCGTGATTGCCATTCACGCGACCCGTGTTCGATTCACGGATGATGCATGTATTTTCTCTTTTTACCCAGCCGCTCTTTCGGATCTTTGTCCGAAGCTTGTACATACTATTTTGCTCACCTTCTCTGGGCCGAACCTGCCGACGTATACCAACAGCAATCCTTCCGGGTTTCCGAAAGTCAGACGATTCCGCACATCGGCGTTGCTGGGTTTGTTTTGATAACACGCAAAACGGGCAGAGTGTAGGATTGACACCAGCAACAGCGAATATCCTCCAAAGGACTCAATGGAGACACCAGCAGAGCGCAAGTGAAAATCAAGAGGGGCATCGGGCGAGAGTGGATCTGTCAGGGTATGTCCGCCAAAAAAAAAGAACGCGGCACACCAACATTCTGTACAACTACATCAAATTTAGCTGACAAAAAAAGTCGTCGTTGTCAAAGCTGTGCAAATCTAGGAGAACGCTCGCAATCTGTGGATAACGGCAATATGGGGTGGTTGCGGCTGTGTAACCAAATTAGCCTTACATGGCAGGATCTGTACAGGGTACGAAATCTTCACAAAACAAACGCAGTAGTGCCTCGACCTCAGGTAACTCAAACAAATACCGATCAAAACATCATGACGTTACTGCAACAGACGTGGGATCCGAACGTCAACGAAAGCATCAACAGAATATGCATGGCTTGTGTCCATGATGCTCAAAGGTGACGCGTTTTAAGGGCGCCAGCAGGCAAGCACTTCCAATGTTGACTGATTTTGAAAAAAAGTGAGAGCACCGGAAAACGCACACGAGAGACACAAGACCAGTCGGAAGCCTTCGGGAAAAAAAGAAATCGTTAATTCTCACACAGGGCGGCAGTAGAGGCTACTCAAAACATACATTTACATTTTACGCGTCTACCTCCACACCCCTCCTTTGAAATAAAGATGAAAAATCACACAACTCTAAATTCAAGTAAAGAGAGCCAGAACGTAACAGCACTACACCTCCTAGCCCACTTTCTTGCGGCAGACGCGTTATATCTTAGGCAGACAACACACACGCCTACATATACTTAAATCCGTTTCGGAAAGCGACTCACGAACTGGTAGTCCACGAACTAACCTAAAATTCCCTCAACAATCGCCAAATGATTTGAAATAGTTTAGAACGATAGGCGACCGTATCTTGCTATGTTTTCTTCCATACAACATCGATCTGTTCTCTGCCCATGGCCGTTACAACGTCCGTGGTCGCTGCCTTCCCAACAAGGGCATAGACAAAAAACAAGAGGAAAAAAATAGTAGTCTCACCTAACGTCGGGCCTAAACTGTCCAACCTTCACCCCGGTCTTGATTATGTGATCACAGACGACGCCTCGCCCCGCCAGCTTTGCCTGGATACGTTCAGGTTTCAAGTACATACAGACGAGGGCAGAAGCGTATTGCCAGTAGGTGTACAATATGTTGTTGGCACCTGTGTCCGTCTTGCACAGCCGATTGGTTTGAAGCAGCGTTTGCATGAATCCTGGCTTCCAAGATGCATATTAGAGTTGCATCCCAGAGTTGCATCACACGCGAACTTCGCTTCGCCATCTTGCCGTGACAAAACCATTGGGTAGACTTTTAAGGCATCGCACACGACCATCAGCTGGCTCTCGCTACCCTTGTTCCAATGAAGATATTCGATGGTGAGCAGAAACATCATTAGTTGGGCACCAGAAGTAAAAATATACGGCCAGTTCGTGTTTAGGAAAAGCGTTGAACCCGAGGCATTTAGATTTGGTTTGGTGAAGAAATCATGTTTGCTCAAGAACACAACCGTTGCAACGCACGTTCACACATGCCGCGTTTGAAAATTTTGCACTCATGTTGTGTGTGAAACTACCATACCCCAGGGAACGTTCACTGCGTGAATGAGCGTACATGTAGGCGTGTAGAAAACATTCCCCTGGTGGTGTAAGGTCGGGAAGAGGGTGACAATTAAAAATAATTGGGTTCGATGTCAGAGATTCAATATGGTCATAATCCAACAGTACGGAAGCGCGGGCTCGCTTGAGTATTTTCAGCGGAAGTTATTAGTTGACTGAAACGTAAAAAGCAAAAGAGCATCAAAGGCAACAACCGCAAAAGGACGGATTTGTCGGGGACGAGCACCGCGTTACATCCATTTGATACGACCCTGGATAGAAGGACAGTTCAGTAACCAGACGTTAGCAAACCAGGAAAGAGGAAAGCAGAAAGCTCAAACAGCGACGTAGTGAGACGGGACAATGCGAAAAAAAAAATTGACGATCGCGTGATGACGATGTTTATTTTCATAATTAGTGCCATTTTCGACGCATACTTGCCGTGCGGCCGACCCCTGTTTGCTGCGTATCATTGGAAAGTCGTTTGGATACTGCTGAAACTGAGTTCTTACTCGAGATCACCTTATCCTAGCCATGCCAACGCCATTTACAACCCAATCGATCACCATACGCCATTCACCACACCTGATGCCGACTACTAACATTCTACGAACTACCTTAAAGGACGGAGAAGTGGTCGCACAGCTGTCGAGGAGCCGGCTCTCGACCCCCTCCTTGAACGTGATCAGCGAACCCGCAATAGGCGCCACATTCAACTCTGCCAGCAGCTCCTGATGGATGGTTGTATGTATAGTATTGAAATCAAAAACGCTCAGTCCAAGCATTGAAAACGTAAGTCACTAGTACGTACGGGGTCGGTGTCAATGTGATCACGAGCCACGCTCCACTCGCGTATTGCTCCTAGACACTGGCTAATATCCGATAAAAAAAACGTGTCGATATTTTCTGTGGCGATTCCGGGATTTCAACCGAACAGCTCCGAGGAGACCAACAAACAATTGGCAAGGCTTGGAACAACCCCGTTTGCTCCGGGTGTGTCATCGATAGTACACGGTGCTTTTTAGTACGGTCATGCGGTGTTTACACGAACGTCGGTGCGCCCTGAACCAACAACTCCGACGTCGCTGCATGACTAACAACACGAAGAGCAACGGAACCGTTGCACGGCAACACAGGAAGTGTCACAACATTGCATGACATACTACTGCATTGTCGGCGACGGCATAGCAACGATACAGCAAAGAGAAAAAGGGCAGCGGTTCCGGTTGAAGAACAAGTATTCGAGAGAAAATCGGGTTTAAGGGAATGCTTTTGCTTGTCCCGACCATTAATTGAAGATACAACCGGTTTAGGAGAGTGTTTGTTGGCTTGTCCCAACCCTCTCTTGAACCGTAGCCGCTACTGTACCCGAATTCGCCTTCTTGAGACGGACATAGATACCTGTACGTCGGTGTGCACAGAGCCAACAACAGGTACATGGTAGAACTTGGCAGCGAGAATGAAGAAGGCACTGATGCAGTCCAACGTGCAGTGGAGCACGTCGGGCCTCTCGAGCCGAATGGTGTTGCAGATCAGATTCTGGGAAGCGAAAATGTATCGAAAAGCACGAGGTAGGTTGTGGGCGTGAAGCAGTCGGAGGAGTGTTTCAAAAATTGTAGACAACACAAAGGTTTGGGATCGCAGCAACAGCAGGCAGGAGATACCAGCCGCAGAAAGCGCTTGGAGAAATTCCGAACCAGGAACATCAGCACGCGGCACAACTGAATTGAACCAAGTCATGCCGCCTGTTTAGGGGGATATTGAAACCTCGTCTCGCAGTGATCTACCTTGAGGTACCATTAAACAGCGTCAAGCGAAATCCTGAATCAGCTCTTAGGGTCAGCCAACTGTGCCAACAACATGTAGACACAATAGAAACGCTTGTACAAAGACACGAAAAAAACATAAACGCAAATACCACAGCCCCGCCTATAACCCAGCCATATCAAGTCGCCAGCAGCAAAAAATCAGCACGCTCACGCGTCTATCTTCCGTCCACAATTGCTTGCGTGTGTCGGAAATGTGGTTGTAGAGTTTTGGGTAGCTTCCAAGAGCTCGCTTGCCGCGTTGTAAGTCCAAACAACGGCTCATCTTTCACCTAGAGGTACAACATGCCTCCCGCCGAAATGGCAAGCACCGCGCGAACGTCCATTTCGATGAAGCCAACCAACCACTTTTCGTGTATAGAAAGAGCATCCCTCATCAGATCCAACGACAGCACCGAAAGCACAGCACCAACGTCCAACAATCGACACTCACCATGTTCGTGAGCGTCGGCATGGCCAGCCTTTTGGTAGGGTACACTGCGAGAAAGGACGAATCCAGCGTGAAGAATCTGTTGCATTCGGCCCAGGGGGGAGGGCGAGACAATGAACGTCAAGTGTCGGAGATCAGACGTTTGCCCACATTCGAGATCAGGTTCGTCGAAACCACGGCTCACCGTCGTTGCTCCACAGGGTATTGTGAGGTTCGACAAGCACATCACCCTCCGCAAATCTCGACGTTTGCTCTCATCTTGTTTGAGGACATTCCGGTCGGAATTTGCACAGGCAAGGGGAAAAAATCCTGACGCAACGCTTGCGATACACACCGCTGGAACTGATTTCGCGGGAGCACAAATCTTTGCCCTTGTCATACGTATAGTTTCACCTCACCCTAGCGCAAACAGCTCAACTCGGGGATACAAAAGACTCTCTGCAGGAGTGGCTCTTTTCCGCCCGTTTCCTGAGCGCTGCAATATGTTCACAGCACAATCGCTGCCGGTGCCAAAAATCGTCCACGTACTCGTGTATGTATCTCTCGTGCCTACCGTGTGCGTGAAATCTCGCCCATCCGCGTGTTGGTATGCATACATCACACGGATTGGTTAGTTCTCCGAACTCGATGACTCGCTAGCTACATTAAGAGCCCTTGGGTGCCCGCACCCATCCCACACAATCGACCGAGGATGTTCGGACCAGCATAGCCGGCAGTGAGGTTGGTGGCGTTCAACAAGAACAAGTGACCACTTCGAGTGACACGAGTGACATCCACCCTTTCGTCTTGCTGCTGTGTTCGTATCTGACGGTTTTGACGACGAAGGTAGGCTCAGGTAAGGAGTGGTCGAGGTACCTCAACGCCGTGTTTAGTGGCTATCTTTAAGACACGGTATGCGATGGTTCTAGCTAAGGTACCTGATGGGTTTCGATGCGGCATCGGCGGCCGGCTCCAGCTGGGGGTGCTTCTCGAGCGTGAAGACGAGAATCTGCGCCATTGACGTGTCGCATGAGGAGAATGTAGGAGGCAGACGAAACAAGGAAGGCAATCTCCAAGAAACAAGGTCGAGAACTCCTCCGTTCGTCGCTAGCGTGCCGTTGATAATTAACACGGATAACATGACTATTGTTGCGCGGAAGAAAGCATCGCTACAAGTAAGCAGGGAACGACAAGAAGAGTACATGTCCTTGGTGCAGATCGACAATCTGCCTAGACGTTGCCGGGTGGAAAGGTGACCATGCAACAAACGAGTACCTAAATGGATGCGAAAAGGTGTCGTGGACAGCAGTGCAGCAATACAAACACCGTTTCAGAGTTGCTCAGGCGCCATGCTGTGCCCACTTCCCCACCTCGTGGCCCTGCTTGACGAGCTGCTGCAGCAACGATGACATCCTCCGAGAGACCCCATCGACAGCTGGCGGGATGGAATGGCTATAGAGCGCGATTTTCATCTTCAACACTGAAAACAGATGCAAGCAAAGCGCGTGAGTGTGAGAGCAAGACCTCGCCCAAGCTGGTCCTGCTGCATGTTTACCGTGCTTCCACACATGACAGCTCCCGCACGGACACGATAATATTATATAAAGTAATACGAAGTAGTAGGGTTCCTGGTCAACTTTTCCAAATCCAAGGTCTGTGCCCGTCACCTAGCAAACTGTCGCGAGCCAAGGAAACCGGTACTGCAAACGAATCTCGATGACCCTAGATAACGCTACAAGGTATCCAGCGGGCATAGCAGGCAATTGTACCCCGACACGGGCGGGTTGGCGGGTTTGGTATTGTCGAGCCTGTGCCAACAGACGCGGCGGCAATGAGCATGGAGACCTCTATCCAGTCGTGCCTCATCTTCCGCACTGTTCACCACAAATTGAGCTCCCTCATAGTACCATAAACCCCACCCAACGACTGGCCCATCAAACATATCCCGAAGGGTGAACGTTGGCGCCTAGATGGGACGAAAAACAACCACAAAAAATCGGTCCACTCACGGAGAAATCATTTCAGTCAATTCTCATTGTAAAGCCTTCAACTCTTTCCATCCGATAAATACTACAGAGCGGAGAAATAATTTTTGTGATGGATGTATGACATGATTTTTTCCTCCTCTGAATAAGGTCCCGCAACAGCGAGTCCAAAACATGAGAAACGCCTCACCTAACCCCTGTAATGCATCACATGATCATCACATGGTAAGATAAGGACACGGCTACACGAATCCGCGCACACTACAAAAGCCAACGTAGACTACGCCTGTTACTGTAGATGCAACAGCTACATGTGGAGAAACCAACGACCTACTGGAGGGGACACAACAAATCACACACCCTGGACTCACTTTCAAATATCGAATTCTCCAAAGCAGTAAGAGTGGCGGTGTCAAAAAAGGTGGCGTTCGGACAGCCACGCCGAGAGCTTTCCCTAAACGTACAGCAATGTTTGATTTACCATAGGTTTTCTTTTCAGAGGTCGGCCGATCAGCACACACACGTGACGTGGATACTACGCACACGTGAGGTGGATAGTAAATAAATCTTACTAAGTAGATACTACCCGGATCGCAGAGGCGTGCCAACGCAAAAAAATGAGTGTGGGGGCATGACAAACGGGTCGAGGCTATCGCTGTGTGTGCATGCGCTCCACACAAGCCAGGAGACTGGAGCCCACTTCACCAACTAGGCACCAAATTACCAAAAAATGCTTGTGGATTTGCTGGTGCTGTCACAACTGCTTCCCGTTTAAACAATGCTCAGTGCGTCGAGATACAACTTACAGTCGGGAAGCATGCATTACCCCGAAAAGAGAGAGGTGCCATTCTTAGAGTCACAGGTTCTTACGCTGCTGTTCTGATGTAGTATGCATAGGATGTAGGGAGAGAGGCAGACATGGATGACGGGGATGAAGGGAGATACTAAGGAGAGAGCAGCGGGAGGGTGTTCTTACGCTGGTGTGCGAGTGTCTAGTGTGCAACCTGTGTCTTTCTTGCTAGCCTCATCACCTATCACACGCTTTTGCAAATGTCTTGAGAAACGAGTTGAGAACAGGACGAGTTTCTGTATTCTTGGTGATGGCCACCTCCCTGTGTGAATCACCGTCGCCCCCTAGCGCTCGAAACAGACGCAAAAGCCTACTGAAGGTAATTCCTTTTCAGGCGAAAGCAAAAACAGTTCTTACGTTCCCCAATCTACAGCGTAGTAGTATATCTTCGTTGTGGAGTAATCGAGCTTTGAACATCGGGCCAGGGGGTGCGATATCTCATGTTACCTAATGCATGCATACGCCGCGGTCAGGTTTAATTGCACCGTATCGCACCAGAGTGTGTGACCGAAGATGCATCGTTCCCTCCGTTTGGCACCCAGGCAGATTTCTCCACGCATGGTAAGAGAGAGGCATCAGTGCCGAATACATGGAAGCCCTCGTGAGGTATTGCTAGTTGCCCATGGTAAGCGTGATCATCAAGGAAAATGCACTCAAACGCGACAACGTGGACTGTAAGAGTACCGTAGGAGGCCCGACATAAGGCCGCATGGGTAAGGCCGCCTGCCCGATACAAGGCCGGTGGCAAGGCCGGTAAGGCCGGTGGCGTCCTTTATCAGGCACCCCCTACATAAGGCCGGTTATGGCCCCCGCATGCCCCCAATGCCTGCCCCCAACAGGGCTGGTCTCCGTAGAAGTTACGCTGGTTTCGACAGCGGCAATGCTGAGGCCGCCACCTTTCTGCAGAGGGCTAAGACGGCGATGATCGCAGCGCATGCCGCACATCCCACGCGACAGGCGGACTTGAGGGAATTTCCGTACATGTGATGAGCTCATGGGAGGAGACATGGTACGGTTTGCTGTGTCGGTGGTGGTCTCGTATTTTTTCAGGAGGGTTTGTCAGGATTGGGCAGTCCGTGCCATTACATGTCTCGTTTTTCGGAAGTATGCCAGGAAGGCATGGTGCTGCCGTGTGTGTTGGTCGGTTGTTACTTTGGGGTAGCAAAACAACAGGGGATGTACGACAACTTGATGGTCATTTGCCTACCCTTTTGGTGGGGGCGTATTTTTGGGTGGGGGCACGAGCTACCGCGTCCGGGCTTAGCCATTGAATGCGATTCGCGCTTGAACTGTTTGTCTGACGTCAGGTGTTCCTCTTAGCATACATAAATGCGTACGGACGTGTTTTGTTCCATTGCAAAACGGGGGGTGTTGCCCGATGTTTCTTCTCTATTCTTCATTTCATAGCAGTATTCATGTTTCATGTTTGTCTGCCGGAATCATGATTTTTCTTACCGGTTGGACGTGTACATGAGAGACGAAAAAAGGTTGGACGGGTACAAAATGAACGTGATCCAGGCATGGCCAGGCCATGGTCCGATCGTGACCCGGTCATGGCCGGGTCATGGCCGGGCCATATCATAGCAAGGCACCGAGTCAAACTTACGTGCAAGCACATTGGTGGAACAATTTTTGAATCAGAAATCCAAACAAATTCAAAAAGTTGATACAATTGTACAACGACCTTTTTGGCGAGAGAGGGAAATCAATTGCGAGCGATATAGTGGCCCTGTGCGTGGCACTTCTCGACGTTGCCACATTTGAGTTGCAGCCCCGGCTTCCCGACATCTAACTCACCCTTGGCATCCTAGAGAGGATGGGGATCACCGTTACCCTCTTGGAAGTGGAGCCGATCATGTATTGTACCTATTATCGTCTATCTGCTGGTGTGGTGCTCTCTACAACGTACCTTTGGAAACGAGGAACACACGTGGCCGAGACACACCGGGAGAGAGGAAAGACAACAACTGAAAGCGCACAAGTATACATACCACCAGTACTGTATCGTGTTCCCGGACTAAGTAGTACCTACGTGGATTCCAAGCTCCGGTCGCCAGGATCACACACCACTGCTGTTGTCCTCCAACGCACACGAGCGGCACCAAACAATCAGCAGAGAATTTGGTCCCTCCCTGAGCTTGAGTCTCCGCCCGCCAGCGACGCTGGAAACCGTGTGCCGCAAACAAGCGGCAGAGCAGCCGTTGGGTTCTGGCACTGAGAGAGAGGAGGAGAGGAGAGGGAGAAACGTGTGTGCACGGGAAGAGAGTCTTGTGTTCCTCTGGTCCTCTGGTGGTGGTGTCTCCGTGTCTCCCTCTGTCTCCCCACTTGCACATCTCCGAAGATTCGCGGTGCCATCGAAACGCGTTACTTGTTAATTATTAACCCGGGGCTGACGCGCATGAAAAATGGTACAGTCCTTGATCGGGTGCTCAACCACCACCAGCACGTCTACTCTACCGCGGTGCCTTATGGGAAGCACACAGAGAGCAGCCATGGACTTCGGCAGAAGCCGCCACACTTGGTCAAAAACCGTCACAAGACCCACAAACCTCTTGCGGGTGTGTACACGTGTGCATAGACAAGCACGTCGTAGCTTCCTCTACACACCGTAGCTACTGCTGAGACACCACCAGCAGTTTGAGGGATGAGGTCTGTGACGGCGCGTACAGTACCGGTAAGGTCGGTGACATCAGCTTGGTGGACATCCCTGGTCGTAATGGTAACCTTCGACAGCACGGCCCCTGCAAGAGAGAGATCTGGGGGTGGGTGGATCCCAACGGGCATGTCGCTGCTCCATGATGATGACCTATAAATTTTCCTTCAAGTATCAACACTTTCTCAGCTGGAAGTTCGTTGTTGACGTTTCATCTTGGATAAACACTACAGCAGTCTACATACAGCACTGTATCGGGAAAGAGGTTGTCATCCCCCCTTTATCGAGAGTGTGCCGGCGGGCGACAAGGGAGAGAACGATCGATCCTTTCTTACAGATCGATTGCTCCACGACCAAGCAAGACGGTACATGCTACATGTACAGCGTAGATAAATAGGGGTAATGAGCCGCGGGGGACAACCCAGTATGTACCTTGCAAATAGGTCTATCTGCGATGTTGTGAGATAGATGTTTCAAAGATAAAAAAAGGCGATTGGTAAAGTACTCTGTCCCGGTGATGTGAAAAAAGTTGACACATGTCCACGCTAGTCAATGTTCAGTAGCAACATCCATGATACCCCGGTATCTCTTGTGTTTGTCGTAGGACGTTCGTGGGTCAACATTGTCCGTTGTACGTGTTTCGTGCATCCAAATACGACGATGTCACACTCGATAGTCCAACCAACCTATCGAGTCTACCTGTGTATGGTCTACATGACCTGTAACCGACATTACCTACTTTAAATAAGATTAGAAAAACAGCACTGTCGGCCGCCGAGAACGCGCCGTTTTTACACAGCGTTTTGCTTCCATTTTTTTTTTATTTCCAAAATTCTTCCTCGGTCGCAAATCAACGTTCAACGGATTTGGAAATTTGGAAAATTTGGAAGCAAAATCGCTGTGTACAAAACGGCCAGTAAGGTTTTGCCGGCCACCGAACATTGACACGCATCAGCCATCCCACCTAATTTACGTCCGTGGTCC